GAGAGATGGAACACTTGGCCAATTAGTAGGAGGGAAACACACCAGCCACTCGGTCTTATCTGGATTGAGTACAAGCTTGCTAATGGTAGATACGGTTTGCTGCCAGAATCCTAGGTATCAACCAAGTACCTTCTTAAAATATAAGATGATGATGATGATGATGATTGTTATTGTTATTATTATTTTATTTATTAAACAAGAAACTCAGTCAACTGCACATTCAAAAATGCATCACAAATACCATTGACTTATTATTATTAATAATATTATTTAGAAAATTTATTTATTCATTTCTTATTATAATATCGGTCACAGTGCAACCATCCTGGCGTTATCTCCACCCTACATATTAAAGTGTATAACCAAAACTATACAAATATTATTGTACATTGTCTTCTTATGATGAATTACTAATTATACATATAGATATATTCTAGTCAATATACTCATTTGTGTTTACATATATTACATACATTGCATTACTCTCCATATTCACAAATCCAAATTACTTTTTGTTCCAACTTCCGCCTCTCATTTCCAACAAATAGTAAAATCTATCCCATATATTGTTTTATTCTGATCCTCCTTTGTTTTTAATTTCTAGTGTCAACTTGTCCATTTCTGCACATAGAAATATTTCATTTATTAATTCCCTCTCTGAAGGTACACCCTGACTTTTCCATTGTTGGGCATATACCATTCTTACTTACTACCACATGTGGTGGACATGTAAAAAAGTGATTTTTTGGGGGCAAAATGTCCAGATGTGGTTGGAAGAAATGACCGGACAAAGGTTAGAACTCAAACCAGAGTTATTCCTCTTAGTTATTCCATAACAGAAGACTATAGTAAGGGGTCAATGTATCTAATATTACATATTGTAACAGCGGAGGGGTCAAATTATTGACCCATCTCACGACGGTAGCATTGAGAGCCCCTCCCCAGTAGGAGCCAGCTGCCGGCCCACTTCTCGCATGTGTCACCCCTGGCCTCAATTTTGCCATTAGTGCCTTCTGGAAAGCCCTCTGCAGCCGATAACAGAACTCCGGATTGATCCGGGGTCTTAATTAGGGCAAATTTGGGGGGTAGGGCTTAATTTGAGCATATGCATTCAAAAACGCGATACAGCTTCTTGTTGGGGTGGGTCTTATTTTAGGGGACACATGGTAGGAATGCATCCCTGCAATCAAGATGATTGTCATTTGTGATTGTCCCCGCCGGCTTCTGACAAAGTCAATGGGGAAGCCGGCAGGCAAAGTTGCAAGCCGTGATCATGTGATGTCTCCATTAATGTCCCCAGCCAGCTTGCTTAATGACTGTGACAAAAAAAGAACCATAAAAAGAGACGTGGTCACATGACACTTCACTTATCAATCAAGTCACTTTCAGATTTTTCTGATCCCTATCCTGGTTTTAAGCCAAAGGGCTACTTGTATGACTGTGTGTATGTATATTAATGAATAATTACGGTGTCCATTAATCATAGCTGTTGTTGTTTTTTAAAATCTTTTTTAGCTTTTCTGGGAGAAGAGGCTTCAAGGCTTAAGTGCGTCAGATGTCAGTGAGCAAATCATTAAATCCATGGAGCTTCCTAAAGGCCTTCAAGGTAATGTTGAGGTTTTAATGGATCCAGTGGTGAAATCTACATTTTTTTTTACTACCAGTTCTGTGGGCATGGCTGGGTTGGTGGGGGGGTGTCTGTGACTATGTAGTCATGTAACTGGGGGATCAAAAGACAGAAACTCACTTTAACAATATCCTACTGGAGCAGGGTTGGACTAGATGACCTCCCGGTCCCTTCCAGCTTTGGATTATCCTCTGAAGCTGCTTCTAGTGCCAGGTTTGTAGTCCTACCTCTCTCTCCTTTTCCCCTCCTTCCCTCCCTCCCTTTCTTTTTCTTTCTTTTTCTTTCTTTCTCCCTTATTTCTCTCTCTCTCTCTCTCTCTCTCTCTCTCTCTCTCTCTCTGTTTCTGTCTCTCTCTCTCTCTCTTTTTCTTTCCTTCCTTCTTTCTTTCTTTCTTTCTTTCTCATAACCTCCCCCCCCCCTTTGCATTTTTGGCTGTACGATCGTTGGAACTTTTTAAAAAACCTTTTAAAAATATTTTTACTACCAGTTCTGTGAACCAGTAGCATTTTTTACTACCGGTTCGGGCGAACCAGCCCAAACTGGTAGCATTTCACCCCTGATAGATCCCTTTGAGCGGATGGATTTAGTGGTAATCCATGAACTGAAGTGCAGGAAATCTGTTCGCGCATCCCAGCCGGGAAATGCTGGGAGTTGAAGTTGCCGAATTTGAAAAACACTGTTCTAAAAGACTGCAGGGAGTCCTCAATCTACAACAGTTCATTTAGTGACTGCTCGCAGTTACAACACCCCTGAAAAAAGTGACTTATGGCCATTTTTCACACTTATGACTATTGCAGCATCCCCGTGGTCACATGATGAAAATCCAGACGCTTGGCAATTGGGTCACATTTGTGACGGTTGCAGCGAGTGTCCCGGGAGCGGTGATCCACCTTTTAGGCCCTTCTGGCAAGCATCCCCATGGTCACGTGATTTACATGTGAATGCTAGATATCTGACTCACATTTATGAATTGAATTGAATTTATTATATTTCTATGCCGCCCTATTCCCAGAAGGGACTCAGGGCGGCTCACAACCAAGTCAGGGGGGTGAGGGGATAAAAATAGGAAAAAAAGGGACATGGACAAAACAATACCACAATTTAAAAACAATCAACAGCCACACCATTCGAGCGGGGACAAGAACTCATCAGCC